TCTCTCTCTCTCTCTCTCTCTCTCTCTCTCTCTCTCTCTCTCTCTCTCTCTCTCTCTCTCTCTCTCTCTCTCTCTCTCTCTCTCTCTCACTCACTCACTCACTCACTCACTCACTCACTCACACGTACACACATACGTAGATCTCGATTTTTCAATCACCGTATATTCCCACGCGCGCACGACTCTCGGGTTCAAAGCAAACGCGAAAAGATCTACATCACAGAGCACCATCGGGGTTGATAAGCAACGGCGCGTGATATATGAGGTACACTTTGCGTTGTGCCGCGTACTCCGCAGTCGAGTTCTCGCATTCCAATTGCACCGCCGGGGCATGCACATTGCGCGATCGATGCACTTCGTGTCCGGTGCACCGAAGTCAAACCTCGAGGATCGATCGAGCGGCGGCGCGCGGTGCGGCGGCGGCGGCGGCGGCGGCGGCGGCGGTGCCTGAATCTCCCGACGTTGCTGTTCATTCTTGCGTGAAGTTCCGAAATATATTAAAGTTGGATGCGATATATATTGCTATTCTCGTCTCGCATTCCTGTTGTTACAATGAAAACTAAGGCAATTTGTGAAGTTCCGCCGTCCGTCGGTCGACTGAAAAGAGCATAACGCGCCACGATGCGTCGTCGTCTCGTTCCCAACGCGATGACGCGATTTTAATGTATAATCCAGATCCGCGCGCGAGCTACCGCGAATCGCGTCGCGCGAATTATGCCATTCATGCGCCGTGAATACGGGAATAAACCGAAAACCGGCCTCGAAAATCCGTTTCTCGTTCACGGCGCGGGCGACTTTTTATTTCCCACGATTTTTATCAATTCGGCCGCGCGGCGCTGCCGCAACGCCAGATGCCAATAAAAATGATAAGCGTCCGGGGCGGTATAACTTTACACGGCATTACAGGGGTAGCGTATGTCATAGAAAATTACAGTTCGCCGATCGAAATTGCAATCGTAGTGCCGCCGCAGCCGTGAAACGACGTGGGAGCGCGCGGTGCAAGCGCTGCATACGTATTGCGCTCAGCTCCTCGCTCCGAGGATCGATAGTTCAACGTACAGACAAGCGTAATAGCTACGCTCAGCCTCCGCAGCTCATTCACGTCGTGTATATGCGAACGTGATATATTTCTTATCTACCTTGGAAATTGCATAAAAGGACGCAACGGAACTGAGCGTGCCCCATTAATCAGGAGACACTGCGGAATTCTCGTCGACATAATGTTGTATATCGCTTTGTCGAGAGGATCCCGCCAATTCGGTATTCTCGGCACGTCTCTTTAATATTTTGTGCGAAATATAACAGAGAGAGAGAGAATGGCAGAGGGAGTGCTAACGTTTCCCGCGCGATCAATGTGGATCGCAGCCAATAATGAAAAACATTCGAAAATGCAATCGGGGACGTCACGTCGGAGGTGCGGCAGGAAACGCGTCTCGGAAAAACACGAGGAGCTAAGAGAAAACTCGTCGGGGAGACATCCAATGGGATTCGATTTGCTTTTCTTTCGTCGCTCCTGAGGCCGCTGCCGATAGTGAAATCCGCAAATGGAAGAGCCGCCCTCGAGGTGCGCCTGCGGCAGCGCTCCCACTGCAGGGATTCGCGCACAGCCG